TGAGGTCTCCTAGTCCAACCCCCTGCTCAAGCTCAATTCAGACAAGCTAATCACTTCAACAAGTAGGCAGAGAAACTCCATTCAACCTGGATGAAAACAAGTTTTTAGCTTCAGGGATGAAAAGGAGCTGCTTCAAAGGGGCTTTGGTAGACCCCTCCCAACGATCAATGCTTTGCCGTTTCGTTCATCATATATTCTCTGGAGAGAAAACCAATTTTTTGACACGGCCTTCAAAGAATAGCCAATTCCCGGCCCGAAATAAGACCGTTCCCTAACAAACCGAGATTCTAAAAATAATATCAGCCGTGCAAGAAAGGCCAAGATAATCCGGGAGAAGATCAGTTCCTGCTAAGGGGCTGGCATTTGAATGACGAGAACTCCTTTTTTGAATTTTAGCTTTGTTTACTGTACCCAATCGGAGAGCTATGGAACAGGCGCCGCTCTGTTTCAAACAATGTACAATATTTATTCTGGATCTGCCCTGCCTGAGGAATTCCTTTTATTTTATTTTATTTTATTTTATTTTTTTGAGCGGAAGATGCTATCTGGTTTGGCCGCTTCGAGACCCAGATGGAAAATGAGCAAATGGAAATGCCTGGAGTTAGCTGGCTGTTTTTTTTTTTAAAAAAAAAAACACAAAAGCGACTTTTTTTCTTTCTTTTTGGCTGAAAATCTTCAAGGGAAATTTTTTTTTTTCTGCCTTGAAGGTTTGAATAGTGACAAGAATCAGGAAACAATCAATAAGCCTTCTGGAGTGAATCAAATATGATGATGCCAAACAGCTACTTAATCTGAGCACTGGAGAATTCATCTTCACTCAATTTGGTTATTTCTATCTAAAGCTTCCTTCCTTCCTTCCTTCCTTCCTTCCTTCCGTCTTCCCTTCCCCCTTTTCTTTCTGTTATTCTTTCTTTTTTTCTTTCTTTCTTTTTCTTTCTTTCTTTCTTTCTCTTTCTTTCCTTCCTCCCCTTCTTCCCACTTTTCTTTCTCTGTCTTTTTCATTCTTTCTTTCTCTTTCTTTTCTTTCTTTCTCCTTCCTTCCTTCCTTCCTTCCTTCCTTCCTTCCTTCCTTCAGTCTTCCCTTCCCCCTTTTCTGTTATTCTCTTTCTTTTTTTCTTTCTTTCTTTTCTTTCCTTCCTCCCCTTCTTCCTTCCCACTTTTCTTTCTGTCTTTTTCATTCTTTCTCTCTCTCTTTCTTTTCTCTTTCTTTCTTTCTCCTTCCTTCCTTCCGTCTTTCCTTCCCTCCTTCCCTCCCCCTTTTCTTTCTTTCTTTCTTTCTTTCTTTCTTTCTTTCTTTCTTTCTTTCTTTCTTTCTTTTTCTTTCTTTCTTTCTTTCTTTCTCTTTCTTTCCAGAAGGCAACATATAGAGCCTTTAGCAAAGCTAGTTTTTTCTTTCATGGTTCATTAAAGTAACAGATCAAAACTGATTGTTTCTGATTATTTGAGACAGAGAGAGAGAGAGACAGAGAGAGAGAGAGAGAGAGAGACAGAGAGAGAGAGAGACAGAGAGAGAGAGAGAGAGAGAGAGAGACAGACAGACAGACAGACAGAGAGAGAGAGCGATGACTTGGTCACTTCCTTTTTATTCTGCACAAACCACAATTTTAGGAAGGGGGGGAGAAAGGCACTTCTTAAGAAGCAATGAGCACGAGTTGCAAAGAGTTATTTACCTGGTCCTCTGCTGCTACAAAACTGACTTAAGCCACACCGGCTATCTTTTATTATTTTAAGCCACAAATAGCTACCACCCGGGGTGGATTGCTTTATTTATCGAATTTCTACACTACCACCTAACCTAATTGTCTTCCGGTGGTTGGCAAACAAGATTAAGAAAACAATATAAAAGACGTGACTGAAAGCACGCTTAAAATCGAAATTAAAAAAAAAAAAAGGTTAAAATTTGCAAGTTCAAATGGTGGTTTTTTTTCCCCCCTCCTCCAGTCTGTTAACGTGTGGAACCTGCAACGAACAGCATTTTATTTTATTTTTGCAAAGACTCGCAAACGTGGACGGCCTAGAATGGGGATTCTAAAAAACAGTCTAGTGGTTTTTCGAATTAAAATCAAATTAAAGAATTAAGGAAAGTCAAAACTGCCCATCCCCCCCCCTGGAGTTCCAGTGCCAGGGA